CTAGTACATTGACAAGTCACTACTGTAAGCTTTTAAGAAATGGATTTCTAATATTTGATTTTTCATAGTGTTTATTCAAAATTTAATTTTACCATTAAAATTTGCACTATATGAGTCATTAAGGCTACACCTTTCTCATTACTGTAACAGGAAGACACATTCAAACAAAGGCATTTCAGAGTACTCAAGGCTGACTAATGAAAGTCCACACCTAGAGGTTTTCTTTGAGCTGGTCAGGGCTTTCTGTTCTTGATGAAGGGCATCCTCTTTCCCAGGGATAGGAATGGTCATTTTACATCCATTTTTAATGCTTGCTTTTCTATTATGTCTTTTTTTTTTTTTTTTTTTTGCCGCCTCTCCAGAGTCTATCTCTGAAAAACAGGCTTAGAAGCCCTTCTAATGAAGGGCTGCTCAATGCCATTCCCAGAGAGGCTTGACCTAAAGTACGTGGGGACAGGCACAGTGAGTAAACAGCTGGGAAATTTTTTCCACTGGACTGGGACATCTCCTATATTCTGTAGATGGGTAATTAGACTGGCTCAGATGACTTAATTGCGGCATTTTCAAGGGCTTTGCAGGGTCTTAGAGGCAGTGAGCCATGCGCCAGGACTCTGGAATGAGATGAGACACTCACGTTAGTCTTTCTGGCCCACATAACAAAGGCTGCTCAGCTTTTTTGCAGCTCCAATTCCCTTGTCTCTGAATCAAAAGTAAACTGAGATGGTATCTTCCTGCAGTCTTTGGAGGCTTAGAATTGGATTAACACACTCATATACAATACTATTCCTTGGCACAAAACAAGCGATGAAGTCGTGGTCCTTCCTGTCTTCATGACCTGCCACCGATTTCCAACACAGACCAGTGCCCCTTCCCAGGACTCAAATAAAGGTGGGGTTCTGGTGGTGAGGCAAGGGAGCAACCCCAGCATCTCTTCAACACGCCAGCAAAAGAGAGATGAAGAATCATCTTGCGAGAAAGCCTCACCCAAAGAAGGAAAGAGAACTCCCTGAAATGTGTCCTTCATGTCATCCTTCTTTTCATTTGTCTGTAAGAGAACTCTTGCTTTCTGATTCTATTCATCCCGTGTCCTATTTTCTTTTTTAAAAGATTTTTATTGGAATATAGTTGATTTACAATGTTCTGTTGTTTTCTGCTATACGGCAAAGTGGATCAGTTATACATATACATAGATCCACTCTTCTTTAATATTCTTTTCCCATATAGGTCATTATGGAGTATTGAGTAGAGCTCCTTGTGCAGTTCCTTTTTAGCTATTTATGTATACAAATGGCCTTCTTCCTCAAGTTTTGTTTTTATGGAATGTCCCTCCATTCATGCTGATGCGTATCCTCTCGGCCTTCCTTTCTCACTTCCCCACACTCTCCACATCCTCTGCACAAGCAAGACCTGTTAACCCGACCTCCAAGCCCCTGTCTCCACCTCCACTGTTGCCCTCACCACCCAAACCACCATGATTTCCTTGTCGTGTTAGTTCTCAGGACCCTTTTAGGTCCTGCTCGGTGGTCTTACTCCTTCTGTGCTTGCCCCCAACCCACAGCAAACAGGGCAACGCTTTAAATGTGTAAATTTGATCACCTGCCTTCCAATGCGAAGCCAATAACTCCCCATTGACCTTAGAGTAAAATTCTCTGCAGAAACATAGACAGATTGCAGGCCTCAGTTCCTAAACTGTAACTCAAAGGGGAGGACAGTCCAGATTTACATAAAAGCGGGAAAGACTTCAAGGACAGTTTAGTTACATGCCATCAGAGAAGTACAACGTCTGGACAGAACTGCTCACCTGAAGGACGAACAGGATTGTTGTTGTTGAGTCATGTCTGACTCTTTTCAACCCCAGATGGTGAATAGTGGCAAAGCAGCAAGGCAGTGACCTTGAACAGAGAAGAAAAATAAGGAGATGCAGCATGCTCTGTCTATTAGAGCAGATCTAGCTGCAACTCTCAGGACATTTGGCTAGGGATGTCTTCGATAAGTAGGGAATTTCCCTGTCACATCCCAAGCTGAGAGGTAGGTGGCTGCTTGGCTTGGTTTAGGGCTCATTGGCTTCAGGGCTCTGCAGTTCTTGCAGCCTCTCCCTCATAACAGCGCAACAATGGCAGAAGCTCAAGCTTCATGACCACCCAGGACAGTCGGAGGCAGGGGACAGAGGGCAATGCAGGACAGGCTCTTTTCCTCACTGACCATCCTCCTGTTACAGAGAATCACTCCTTCCCAGAATTTCCCCAGCCGGTCCAGACTTTACCTTGAGTCTCTTTGGCCAAGACTGTGTCATAAAACCACTCCGGCCCTCTGGTCTGGCACATCGTGTCTGAGATTAAGAATCTCTGCTCGAGACATGAATGAGGTTGAGGTTTTGTAAGAGAGCCAAGAAAAAGGAGGGTATTGCCCGAACCGGTGGGCAGCCACTATGTCTGCACAACATGCCAGAAAGGGAGACGGAGAATCCAGTTTGGAAGAAGGCAGAATCCCCAAAGAAGAAAATTCCTTACAAGGGAACAAATGCTTCATGTTATAGAAGGACTCATTAAGAACATGAATTAGGACAAAGAGAAACAGGCAGTAACCCAGTGCAGTGTGGAAGCCCGGAAGCACTCCTAAGTTAGATAAAGGGAATTAGTGAGGAAAAAAAAAATTTATGAGATTGGAAGCTTAACTAATAATGCTGTGTTAATATTACTTTCCTGATTATGATCATTGTACTGTGATTATGTAAGACATTAACATTTGGGTAAGCAGGGTCTGTGGAAATTCCTTGTACTATTTCTGTAACTTCAGGGAGTCTAAAAATTATTTTTAAATGAAAATTGAAAAATAAAAAAAAAGTTCAGAAACAAGAAAATGAAAAGAGTAATATGAGACGGTGAGATGTTTCCTTCTTTTAGCTAAGAACATAAATTGATAAAATAGTCCTATTTGTAGCTTGATAAACAAAATAGGAATGACAAAGAATGGGATGGATAGGGCTAAAAATTTTATGAGTGATAATAGAAAAAAAGTTTGCTATAATCACAATGAACCAAAATTAGAAAATTAGTGCAAATATTTCAGGTATAGAGAGCAAAAACTCACATATAAAAACTTTGCTAATTTCCTTCTCTTTCAAAGCAGGAGTCAGATATTGTACATAGTGGAAATATGATCATAAAAATAATATCCATAACAAAGGCTTTTATATTCATTTTAACTTTAGAAAAATTGTTTAGAGATGATCTGTTCTATCAGATCATATTATATGAATTTTAGCATTTCCTCAAATTGTACTTCATCCTCCTTTTCTTTGATTAAATAAATAAATTATTAAAATAAATAATCAAAATACTTTAATCCAATTAGAATGTCATAAATACTATGAGGCAATTTTTCTGAAGGCCTCTGTTTCTCTCTGTCTGGCTATCTATCTTTTTTCTGTCTACCTATCTATTTGTCTTTCTGCCTATTTGTCTGTCTATCGATCTTGCTGTCAATCTTTCTGTCCGTCTGTGTATATGCAAAGATGGATGCTTTGAGTAGTGTTTACTGACTGCTTGGAACCCTGCTTGTTTGAGTTTGGTGGATTTCTCTTACCTTTTGTACCACTCTGAATTTTAAAAATTCACAAGTTTTGAAGTGAGTGTGTGTTGTTCCTAAAAACATTTAAAAGACTAGATGATTAAAAAAAATAAAACAAGTTACATAGTCGGAGATGTGACAAATAATATTTCTGTGTGTTGCATGTTCCAACAAGAATAAAGCATTAGGATTTGAAGCAGTGATTATTCCCACTGCCCACCGCCTGGAATGCCTTCTTATTGCCTTTCTTATTGTTCTGCCTCATTCTTTTCTCTGTTTAGCTTCTCTTCTTTTTAGACCCAATTCAAACAAGGATCTCTCTCTCTCTCTGTGTCTCTCAACTGCTGTGACATTTCATATTATTAACTATCTTACATGATTGTAGCAGAACCTTTGTTGATGACCCATCTTCCCATTTTCACACTGTTAGGGCCAGGGCCATGTTCTTTGTAATTCCCATGCTCGTAACCATGCTTTGGGCGTATTCTAAGCTTCATAATTGATCATCCTGCATTTGAATAGGTGATTAGAAAGCTGGGAATGTCACCAAGGAGAACAGAAGATGCAAAATGTGTTTGAACTGAAACACCAGTAAATATAAACATTTGGAGTTTATGAGATTCTGGTGACAAAATTTCCTCATGTGCTTTCACCTGGAGGATAGATTAGACAAAAGAAAGTCCACAGACACACACACTCAGGACTTAAAGGGTGCACGCAGTCTCGGGCACAGCAAGTGGGCATCCAAGGTTGGTGTATTTCCCCCAAGTCTTGTGGAAAAGCCTTGCTTGGAGGCATAGTGTGTTGGTCCATCAACAACACAGGAATCCATGCTCTGCAAGTGGGCCCTCATATGCTCTCTGTTTTTAGCAAGTGGTCCTTAGGAGCAGAAACTGCAGTTGGGCAAATCAGAGTTTAAACCTCAGTTCTCAGTTTCCTCGCTTCCTATAGAGAGGTCATTTCTGTGTACTATGGGGCCAGCCCTCTTAGGACTCACCTTGTAGGCCTATTGTGAGGATAAAAACAAGATAGTAGCTGAAAGGCAAGTCTGCACTAAGTAACAGCAAGTTAAGGAAGATTGCAGCCCAGTAGTTACTGTTGTTGACTAGGTCTTCATTGTTGCACTGTTCTTCTTGTGTTTGTGCATGCTCAGTTGTGTCCGTCTCTTGGCGACCCCATGAACTGTAGCCCACCAGGATCCTCTGTCCATGGGATTTTCCAGGCAAGAACACTGGAGTCGGTTGCTATTTCCTCCTCCAGTGAACTTTCTGACCCAGGGATCGAACTCAAGTCTCCTGAGGCTCCTGCATTGGCAGGCAGGTTCTTTACCACTAGTGCTACCTGGGAAGCCCTACTGTTCCTTTTGCTTTAGGTTAAATTCATGAATCCTTTTGTGCCTCTGTTTCCCCAGGAGTGAACTTGGAAATGACCTGGTCTTGTAGATATCAGGTGCCAAGAGTGCACAAACATTTCGTACCAGGAAGCTGCAGTCGGCTCCAGGCCAATGCTGGCGGGACGGCTGACCCTCTTTCCTGCAGAGTCTTGACTCCTTATCTCTACAACGAGCACCAAGGAGTTGGCCTTTCTTCCAGGGCTGCTTCTTGGTGGAGCTCATAGCTGATGATAAAGTGCTTGACAAACATGGTGTGCTGAATGGTATCTGGTTGGAACCAGAGGTGAGGCATTGATAAGGAGGAGGATGGCGACAGGTTTCTGATACCCACCATGGGCCCGTATGAACACAGTCCTTCCTGGATGTTGTCATGCAGTGCAATGCACCAGCAAGATTAATCACAAGAGTAACCAGCATTTATTGAGAGCTTATTCTGTTCCAGACAGTGGAATGCCTGGTGGATTTGGGGCCATGAGCAGGTCATTTTTTTTTAAACAATCCACCTTCTGATACAATTATTTTCAGTATAATCTTGAAATAAAACAAGGTGTATTAGTGGTTATAAAATACACACGGGCCTTGGAAACTTTTTGTTTATTGAAGTAGAGTTGATTGGCGATATTGCGTTAGCTTCAAGAATATAGCAAAGTGATTCAGCTATATATATTTATATATATATCTTTTTATATTTATATATATATATATATATTCTTTTCCAGATTATTTCATTGAAAACTTTTGATCAAACGTTGTATATATAATCATGCCTGTAAAAGTAACAATAATACATGGACTTCCCTGACAGCCAGGTAGTTAAGACTTTGCTTTCAAATGCAGGGAGTGGTGATTCCATCCCTGGTCTGAGAGCTCAGATCCCACATGCCTTGTGGCCAAAAAAATCAAAACATAAAGTAGAAGCAATATTGTAACAAATTCAATAAAGACTTTAAAATTGGCCTGCATAAAAAAAAATCTTAAATAAATTGAAGTAACAACAATTGTTCAGTTCAGTCACTCAGCTGTGTCTGACTCTTTGCTGCCTCATTGACTGCAGCACGCCAGGCTTCCCTGTCCATCACCAACTCCTGGAGTTTACTCAGACTCACGTCCATTGAGTCAGTGATGCCATCCAACCATCTCATCTTCTGTCGTCCCCTTCTCCTCCCGCCTTCTATCTTTCCCAGCATCAAGGTCTTTTCAAATGGGTCAGTTCTTCAAATCAGGTCGCCAAAGTATTGGAGTTTTGGCTTCAGCATCAGTCCTTCCAATAAATATTCAGGACTGATTTCCTTTAGGATTGACTGGTTGGATCCTCTTGCAGTCCAAGGGACTCTCAACAGTTTTCTCCAACACCACAGTTCAAAAGCATCAGTTCTTCGGTGCTCAGTTTTCTTTATAGTCCAACTCTCATATCCATACATGACTACTCGAAAAACCTTAGCATTGACTAGATGGACTTTTGTTGGCAAAGTAATGTCTCTGCCTTTTTTCTGAGAAATCTGTATGCAGGTCATGAAGCAGCAGTTAGAACCGGACATGGAACAGACTGGTTCCAAATCGGGAAAGGAATATGTCAAGGCCATATATTGTCACCCTGCTTATTTAACTTATATGCAGAGTACATCATGCAAAATGCTGGGCTGGATGAAGCACAAGTCAAAATCAAGATTTCTGGGAGAAATATCAATAACCTCAGACATGCAGATGACACCACCCTTATGGCAGAAAGCGAGGAGGGAAGAGTCTCTTGATGAAAGTGAAAGGGAGAGTGAAAAAACTGGCTTAAAACTCAACATTCCAAAAGCTAAGATCATGGCATCCAGTCCCAACACTTCATGGCAAATTGGTGGGAAAACAATAGAAACAGTGACAGACTTTATTTGTGGGGGGCTCCAAAACCACTGCAGATGGTGACTGCAGCCACGAAATTAAAAGACACTTGCTACTTGGAAGAAAAGCTATGACCAACCTAGACAGCATATTAAAAAGCAGAGACATCACTTTTCCAACAAATTCTGTCTAGTCAAAGCTATGGTTTTTCCAGTAGTCATGTATGGATGTGAGAGTTGGACTCTAAAGAAAGCTGAGCACTGAAGAATTGATGCTTTTGAACTGTGTTGGAGAATACTCTTGAGAGTCCCTTGGACTGCAAGGAGATCCAACCAGTCAATCCTAAAGGAGATCAGTCCTGAATAACTCCAATACTTTGGCCACCTGATTTGAAGAGCTGACTCACTGGGAAAGACCCTGATGCTGAGAAAGATGGAAGGCAGGAGGAGAAGGGTATGACAGAGGATGAAATGATTGGATGGCAACACTGACTCAATGGACATGAGTTTGAACAAGTTCTGGGAGTTGGTGACGGACAGGGAAGCCTGGTATTCCTCAGTCCATGGGGTCGCAAAGAGTCAGACACAACTGAATGACTGAACTGAACCGAGTCTCTCCTCTCTGATACTTCACTCATGACCAGGGTTACTGCACTGTCTCCAGAATACACACATTACTGTTATGTAGCAATAACTCACATTTTCATTGTTTGTGTAGGTCTTCTCTTCTTCCTTCTTTTTTCTTTTTAAAATAAATTTAGTGGTTTTGTTATTTTATCATCTTTATTTGAAAAATGTTTCATAACTGCATTTTATCAAGTTTACAGAAAAAGTACAGAAATTAGTTAAACGAAAGCATATGCTCACTTTCCAGGTCTTCCTTTGTATGTAGGGATTAAATAAAATAATATGAAATCTCAATTTTTGTCTCCACCTTTCTTCCAAGATGCAACTATATCAGTATCTTTCTAATTAAGTCTAAATTATTTAACATCTCTGTACCTTTTCTAAGTGAAAAAAATACCTGAGGATGTTTTAAGTGACTATTACAAATTATTCTGTCTTTATTACAGTTTTCTAGAGATAGATTATATATGATAAAAGCAAAGTCATGCTTTTTATTTTCAGAGGATGTAGTAAATGTATCAGCTTATTTTATCCTCCCCCCCATTTTTTTTCTTTTGCAGTTCAGAGTGCATTTGGGGAGGCACAAATGATCTAAATTCCTGGTTTCCTGAGAGATGCTGTAGGATTCAAGATAGCAGGCATCTCAAACCTAATTTGAGAAGATGTGTTTCAATGAAGAACCTGAATGTCCCAGCCAGACTGTAAAAGAAACATATCAACTGCTTCCTCTGTAAAGACTATTAAAAGCGCAGAAAGTAGGGGACACTAATAGAAAATTTCCAGAAAGACTTAAGAGCACAGCTTAGAAAATATCACATAAATGACTATTTTGGATTCTCTGTGGAGTCTCTTGCAAGTAAGGGAAGCCATTGAGCTGTTCACATGTTTTTGTTTTTACTGCTGGAACCTAGTCATTAAAATTTCCCAGGGAGGCTCTGCTCAGTGGCACATGAACCAAAAGCAGAAAAGGCCCTCTTGTCTATCACCCCCACACGTCAATGTTGGGGAGCTATAAATCGGGATGTTCTAAAAGCTTCTCTTTCCCTGACATAATCCCAAGTGTATCCATTATACCTGTGAAATCATCTTCCAAGGATGTAGTGCCATCTTGCTCACATACCTCAAGACAAACTTCTTCCAGGAATCCAGTCCCTTCCCCAAAAGAGAGGGGAAAACTCCATGTTGTCTAAATCTCTTTAAATCATCACGGTCTTTGTCTGTTGGCCTGATGTTTCATTATTCTTTCTAGCTTAGATTTTAAGACCCTACAAGAGGTAACGTCAGCTGGTCAACTGTCATGTATATAACATACCAGTGACACATGGGACAGGTTGGGTAGGTTTAGTCCCATAAAAACCAACAGAAAATCACTGGTGTTCAAGTGGAGGTTCATTCCATTCATGTTGAATGATTCTGATACAAAACAAATTTTTTTTCAGTGACCAAAATTAGGCTTCCCCGTTCTCTCAAGTAACTGACAAACTTAAATTTCACTTTTCAGTTGTTTTCCTGGGGCTGAGCCACAAAGTCGAAGGCTTTGCAGCAAAGGTGACACATGGAGCCATTACTCACTGGGCAAATAACCCTATCACAGGGCGAGAGAGTAACCTTGATGTCCACCACTCCCAGGGTTGCCCTGCCTCCCAAACAGAAATGGAAAAAGGATCCATGTGCTGCGTTAAAGACATTAGTTCTTGGTGTTTGTGTAATTTTTTTATGTGTTAGTTTTTTGCAATAAATGCCAAGTTCTGGTTGAGTTGAACATGTGCAAGTAGATAGCAAGGGTACAATTGAGATGAGACAAAGACAAAGACTCAGCGTAGCTGGAGTTGATCCTGAATTAAGGACAAAATCAAATTTCAAAGCCCCAAATTGCTGAATTAAGGAGAGTGTGTGTGTGTGTGTGTGTGTGTGTCTATGTAAGTTTGCTTGGATCTCAACAGAAGCAGAATATCAGATTTTCTTCATTTCTACCAAAGACAAAACAACAAGGAATTGACAAATCATTTCTCAAAGGATTAAGGTTCATGACAAAGGGTCACCCTGATGGTGTATATGCTGCAAATACTCCTGAGATGGTTACCCAGGAGAGTTGGGGAATTTCTCTTCCTGGGGCCAGATTTGGGGTCGGGGGAGGGGTAGAGAGATGCCCCTAGATGATTGGTGCAGTCTTGGCCTTGAGGGCACGACAAAGCATTCCATCCACTCCCTCCTAGGGTCCCAACCTCACAAAGCAGAGCAAACCTCTGGTGCCCGGATAGGTGACATTGTGGATGGTATTTATCTTTCCAGGAGGCCTCCAGCTGATGTCGTAACCAGGGCAGAGTTGAAGCGACAGAAAGTCCTCTTGAAGGAGGCTTGGGTTGAGCATCCACCCGATGTCACTCTTCAGAGAAGCCTGTCTGCCCTTCCAAAGGCTCTCCATCATCTTGACAGCATTCTTGGTCAGCAGGTATTATTATGATAATACCTTGAGTTTATTTAGCTCCCCAGCACCCTTTCAGGCGAGGTCAAAGCCAGTTGGGCAGTCAGTCAACAACAGTGATTGAAGTCTCTTGGTGTTTAAAGCTGTGTATTAAATCACTGTCAAGCCCCCACCAGCCCCACCCTCACCACACACCAAATGTACCTCGGGGGCTGCCGGCCAGAGCCCACATGGCCGCCTGGCCCCCAGGCTTCACCCCGGTCTCATTCTCACTCATCGGCTTTTATTGACTCACGTTTACTTAGCGTTTGTACAGACCTCTCTACGTACACACTTGGAAA